TCAAATATTTCGATAAACCAATGATAAGAAATCACTTACTTGAAATTATGAATAATGAAAGGCATAATTTCATCCTTGAAGAATGAAATTTCATTAAAAGGTAGACCAAGTGTTTGCAAATCTGGACAACTGCAATAGATCATAACTAGTTACCGCAACAGCACATTTACAATAAAAATTATTATAAATTGGATAAGGAAGAGATTGGCCCAAATATATTTTTTGCCGGAAATTAACTCACCTCCGATCGATGGCTTGAAGAAGATCGCCACTGGTTTGGAAATAATTTCCGATTATTAAATGCTTAAGTTTGTACGGGAATGACTTTTCGGGTTTTTCATCGGGCAAAGTGAACAAGGCAGTCATACCTACGGACGAAATAAAACAATTTTCACCACCGAGAAATACCCTTAGCTCTTCCAAGTTGTATAAATTCTGCAATATGCAAAAAGTAGTGTAGAAAACCAAAACGGTACTTGTTTTCATAATGCTTATTGTAAAATTGGAAGTATGAAAATAAATTATTAAAATAATTGTATTGTATTAAGATAAATAATTGTATTAAGATAAAATAATTGTATTAAGATGTTATTGAAACATATGAAAATATTAAAACATTTGCTAATTAGAAAAATGTTAGATCAAATCACATTCAGAACAAATAGAAAGCACTGTACACTGAAACTATCGAACTATTTCGTTAAACCTTTGTAAAGCTGGAAGAATGAGTCATTTAGTCAACACAGATTGGAAAATTAGGGAGACTTGAAACTTTGAGTGGAACTTATGAAAATATATCACGCTCCTCATTTATAACAGTCTGATTTGTACTACCCTCATACTATTGATAGCTTCAATGTCATATTTTCGACTCTTTTCTTGCCTTTATATAAGCAAATTCTTCATCGACTATATGACGGCTCCGATCCCACGAAAAAACTTTCAAATTTTGCAAAAGTCCAATGTATTCAATACCGTCGTTTGTAATATAACACCCAAGATGAAGTTCTGTAAGAGTTGACCGCCACGGAGAAGTTCTAATCACGCTGAAACTGAAAAGCATAGTATTAGCAGATATGTCTGTAATACCGCCAATTATCGTGATAGTAAACTAATGAGCTTGAAGCTAAATGATCTTCAAACAACAGATTCCAAAGTATGGTGTCATAAGATTATTTTCAAAAATGACCAAACTCGACGGCTAACGAGTAATCTTCATAAGCAGACTTACTCAACTTCATTCATCCCGATGTACTCCATTTCATCCATCCCGCTGTAAATATGCAATAAATTCAGCGGACGATTGTAAACCGGCAATTTTGGATCGTTTCCCAAGCAGTAAGCAGTAACATTACCAACAAAGAAATTTTGCACTTTCGGAAAAATGCTTTCATCTTCAAACAACATTTTCAATGTCTCTTCCCATTCCTGTGCATCATCATCACACCTGGAACTCTAAAAAATATAACATGCAAATCGTGAATATCAATAACGACATTATTAAACCCTAAACTAAAATTGCTTATAGTAAATGGTGTCTAAATTGTAATGTTAAACATTTAAAAATTAAATGTTCAAAACAGTGATCTGAAAAGTAATCAAATCCATTTAAGTAATACAGTGATAATAATATTAATACCAAATATTGTGGTATACTATATGGTGATGAGATATTTCATGCATTTTACATATAAATCATACTCGTTCTATTTTTTCCATATGCAAAGTTTCAACGTTGGGGAAGCAATTTGATAACTTTTTCAACAATGTGGTATTCATTTCTGAAAAAAAAAGAAACATTCATTTGGAAAAAAATTGCATGTTTAAATTTGGAGGAAATCAACTCTTACTAAAGTCACTTTATATTAGCTCCTCTTTTTATATCAAGTATCTTGTCAAGTAAGGCGATTTCAATTTGTACCCTTAAAAGAGCCAAGATCCAAATGGATGACATTGGGAAAACAGATATCGAACAATGCGTTAACTTCGGCAGATGGCAAAGGCAGTGAACAATCAATGCACAGTTTTCGAAGATACTGAGAAGTCTAGAAATATGCGAAATCTAGAAATATGCGAAGTCTAGAAATATGCGAAAAAAAAAGTGAACGGATATTTACATCCTGATTCATCAATTAACAAAAGTGTGAAACAGAAGACAAGTTATTTCAAAGCAAAATTTCAAAGTAAGACGATTCAAGACGATAAGTCTATCCTCGTGGCTTCAATTAATCATGACCCATAAAACACGAAAACTTCCCACACTGGTTACCAGGTATTTCAGGCAAAAAAATTATTAGTATAAAGCTTACCCTGTGAAAGAACATTTTCACACTGCCATATTCCAGTGAGAAATCGTTAACTAACACCCGAACTTCGGTAAATAAACTGGAATAATTCGCCAAATAATTCCAACGGCGACAAACCAAAGAACAACCATGGATCAAATCAATCGGATGACAATAACCAAATACTGTCAACAATATATCATCCGACAAATCGCTGACTGTAGTAAGTGTTTCCTTAATGAATTACTTGCGTTAAAAGAATTTTAATCTGGTTCACTTGCAATGTCTCGTGAGTTTGAACTATACTTCTTAACATTATGTGATAAAAAGTACCTCCTTGACACTTAAATCGGTCGTAAATTCGTCGGTATCCATTTCAATCCCGAATGAAATCTGAGAATCCTCTATTCATTTTTTTGAGGAATGTAATAAAAATATAGTAAAAACCAAGTTTGATTTGCTACGCTAATATGAAAACTGAACTACCTGGAACTTTGGATTGGTGACAACGCGTTGAGCGGGTGAATAAGAGGTACGACCAAAACGTATCAATGGATAATATGCTTCCATCCGATAAGCATTAGTACTAAAATTATTAAAAATCAAATAAAAGTATCCTGCACAGTCTTCTATTCAATCGGAATGCAGTCCGATGAAGGACTATTACACCACGTCAGAAACTTGTGACCCTCCCGGTTTTTGAACTCTCTCCAACAATATTCAATAGTATAAAAAAACTTACGCCTTAAAAAACTTATATTTCCTGTCTATCGTATCATATTTGTGGGATAAAGGCCAGTACCGCCCGGGCGACTCTGTTATTGCATCCATTCTAAAAAATCAGCATATATATATAATTTTTATACATGTGATGAAAATGATTTATAATTTGTATTCACCGGAATTCTGTAAATTATGGAAAACATAATCATTCCGGACATCAAAGTGAGTAATTATATTTGAATTATTTGGAAAACCCAAGAAAAACAAATGAATGGTAAGTGTTAATAAGTCCAGGAAGAGAGAGAACGAACCTCTAGTGAACGAGCAATAGGAATGACACATTTGATAACCGTATGTCAACCATGGTGACTCATACAAAGGTGTTCGACATTTGCAGCACTAGATAATTTTCGAAATTTGAAGAAATTAAAAAACGGGACAAAATAAGAAAAGGAAATCAAAAATGAAATGAATTCGTGAAAGATGAAATAGAAACCAAAAAACAAATCAAATCAGAGTGTCGTAAAACCAAATCAAAGTGTCATAAGTAGAAAGAACAAAGATTACTCGCAAACATTTGACTTTTCCTCAGTCACTTTTTGAATAAATACGTCTAGCCATTAGGCGTAATTCCGTGAAGCATATTTATATGCAAACATGCAACAGACACGCTGATAACTTAAAAGGCCAATGCGGGATAGACAAGTTAAGCTGTAAAAGGCATTGAGGAAAGTCTTCTCAGGCGTATTGATGAGGTACGGTTTTTCCTGCGTTGTTCCTTGTCTTCGAGACTGGCTCTACGTGTTTTCCCAAAGAAACTAGCAGCGTTATGGCTGGGGCGCTGATTAGATGTAAGGATGAAGGTAACCCTCCTGAGGTGGAAGTTGGTAGAGAACTTCTGTCTTCTTTAAGCTGATTTCCAGTCTAAAAAATTCAGCGCTTAGCAATCTCTGTAATTCGTGAGAATTAGATGTTCCAAAATGCAAGTGTAAATTTGAGCATACCTTTCAAGGCAAGTATATACTGCTTTGCAAAGATGGGCTTTGTTAGGCCACCTTTTCACGGAAGGGGGCCTAGAAAAGGCCCCTTTCCCTATAGAGTAAACACTGCTGTTCGTGAAAAAGGCTCCTTGTGTCGCGAATTCCGATTCGCGAGACTCCAACCACACCCCAAACTAACAAATAAATTTCTTGCTATAAATAAATGTTAACAGCGTAAATCATTTAACCAATTTACATTC